TTTCTTCTCTCACCTCGCAAGGTCGACGTAGGCGGCGTCTGCTAGTAAAAACCGACTGCTTGCGCAGACAACCTTTCAGTGGCCACCCCGTAGGCACCGAAACCAACGTTTAGAATTCAGTCAAGATCGTCTTTACTTGACGTTTGCTTAATTGACGTGATGCCTTGCTTGAATTGTGACGAGGCGAAGGGAAGCAACAGTACCTTCAACTATACTCCGTTTCATACATCATGTGCAACGCTGTCAAAGCTAGCGCTCTTGTTTGCGCTGTGTACTGCCGCGACCAAAAAGTAGTGCGTCGCTTGGGGTGTACGAAAATCAATAAATGCTTCGCGGGAAACTTCTAAGCTTACATATTTCTCATCAGGTTAAAAAACAAACGCCTGTGTTGTCGGATAAACAATCCAAATATGCGAGTTGGTAATTTATGTTTGTCGCTTTCGTATCAGGTTTTCGCTCTCCGCTCGACCCGCGCCGCCATTTTTTTTACTTGTTGTGGCAGCTTCGAAAAAATGCCCCTGTTGTTAACCCAGCCTCATTGGAGCTGCTGTGCTACCTAATCTATGAATTAACGTCATCTTACACGCAGCACTCGCTCACATCAACGAGGTAAACCGACAATGCGGTATAATCGCGACAAAATCGCCATGCTTGTCAAACCTCGGTGCCAGCTCAGCAGGTTCCGGCCCTCACAAGGGAACACGGTATGCTACAAATGAATAAATACGTGCAGTTCACTTCCGCGTGCAAGTAAGTTAAAGTAACTGAAAAAAAAACAAGATTTCGAATTGGCACCACGTGGATTCGAACCCATGCACTTCAAAACTACGGTGAACTCTCCGGAGCGACGCGTCAGACCACTCGGCTACGAAACCTTTTTTTTTTGCTTTATTGCCTGTTTACAGGCGCATACATCAAACCACAAGCAGAACAAAAACAAGCAGTAACAGTCCGGCAGAAACTTAAAATTCCCTAAGTGCTGCCAAGGGCTCCACCCTCGACAACCACTCAGGTAAAATCTCCTGAGTTTTCTGCAGTTCAACATACTTGGCCATACATTCACGGAAATACATTCGTGCAGGCCGTGCATCCTGATCGCGATAGAAACCCGCCATACGGGCCCGCCATAAACAGTGAAGTCCACATAGCATAATCAAATCAAAAGGCATTCCCTCTTCGTCCACTATAGGCAGAAATCTTATACCATATGAATTTAAAGGTAATTCTTTCTGTAACGTCCTTTGAAGTACATCCCAAAAATATACTCCTTCCCAACAATGTAAGAAAACATGGTCAATATTTTCCGGTTTTTTACAGATAAGGCAATTTGTCCCCCAAGGTAAGTAAAAACCATGGTCTGCTTGAAATGTCCTGACTGATAGTGTACCTGTGTGCAGCTTGAAAAAGAAAGACTTCGCGCCAGGAGCCACTTGCATTCTCTTCACTCTTTTAAGCACATCTTTCCCTTCACCTCCAGCGTACATGGCACGGTACAGCGGTTCAGGTAAAACAACATCGCATACATCTTTGTACAACTTCTTTCGAGTCACTGAAAACAAATATTCATTGGAAAATCTAACAGATAAAAACCTTACACTTAGAATAACCTCTTTAAGATACCCGCGCACAGCACCGGTTATGTCATGCGTGCTAACCACATATCCAGGTAAAGCCCGCGTCAGTCTCATTTGGCACACTGTACGTAAGAAAGGGTCCCTTGTGTAGCGAAAAAAAAAAGAACCTATTTACGACTTGGCGTATGAAAAGATGTGTTAAACCAAGCCCTCCGTGTTTCACTTTTCGAAACAGATTAGTTCGACTGCATCTCTCCCAGTTCGAAGCCCACACGAACACTGCGAAGATACGATGGAACTTCTGTATGTTTGCCCTTGAACAATGCAATACTTGCATCACATACCAAAGTTTTGAGGCAAAGAAAAGATTACAGGCAGTCGCCCTAGCAAACACTGACAGATGATTACCGTTGCATCTATTAGCTTTCGTCCGGATTTCTTTCGCTTGTTCTTGCCAGTAGTTCTCATTATCTTTATAAAATTCCAGTGGCACCCCTAAGTACTTGACAGGTGTGGTCACCCGTTTAACATTGGCAAAATAGTCTGGTTTTGATGACCACTCTCCATGCCAGAAACCCAGACACATTCCCCAGTTTACTAGACTGCCAGTTGCCTTGCCGAACCTTTTAACCACACTGATGGTAGTGGTAACACTATCTTGATCGATGCAACAAACAGCCACATCGTCGGCATATGCCAAAATTTTAACTTCGGATTCTTGTAATCTATAGCCACGAATGCAACTGTTTTGAGCTATTGCTAAGCACAACGATTCTATATATAAACTGAAAAGTAGGGGGCTCAGCGGGCAGCCCTGACGAACAGAACGCTTTATGTTAATTGTATCTCCTAGCGTCTTATTGATTACCAGTCGGGTTGTGCAGTTCCGGTATGCCATAGATACTCCATCTCTGATTACAAAACCAACGTTGACATGGTCAAGAATGGCAAGCAAAAGGTTGTGGGAAACACAATCAAAAGCTTTCTCGAGATCAATCTGTAGAATGGCTACCCCTACTTGATTGGCATCGCTACACTCGAGCACACAGCGCATCTTGTGTATATTAGTCACAATGGAGCGTCCCATAATCCCACATGTTTGGTGAGGCCCTACTAATTCTTTGATTACCCCTTGAAGTCGCCGTGCTAGTACTTTCATTAAAATTTTGTAATCACAATTAGTTAGTGATATCGGTCTATACGAAGAAACTAATTTTAACTTCTCCGAGTGTTCTGTCTTAGGTATCAAAACTGTATGTGCTTCACTAAAGGACCTAGGGAGGACATTAAGTTTATAAGCTTGATTGAAGACATCTGCAAGTACTTGGGATAATTCATTTCTGAACTCCTTATAAAACGAAGCACTAAGCCCGTCCGGCCCTGGAGATTTACCAGGATTCATTTTATCTATAGCCCTTTCTACTTCCGTCGGCGTTATAGATAGCTCTAAAGCTGATTTGGTGTTATCTGACAACTTCGGCATTCTGCTAAGGAACTCTTGCTTAAATTCCTCTGAATCAATGGGCGTGGCAGCCAAGAGTCCTTCGTAGTGTTTGCCAAACGCTCGTCCTATGCTCTCATTGTCCGAAACTTCGATACCGTTGACTTCAATGGCATCTATGTGATTTCGTCTGGCATGACTCTTCTCTAATCCAAGCGCTCGCTTTGTCGGGCGATCATCCACAGTCATTGATGCTGCTCTGGCTCGCACTAGCGCTCCGCGATAGCGTTCCTCCTCATATACCTCTATCCTCTGTTTAATACTCCGCAAATTATCACCATATACTCCAGGTTTTTCACATTCAAGAGCTGTTAGTCTCTCAAGTGTTCGTCTAAGCTCTTTCTCATTCTTCTTAGATTCAAAAGATAAAACGCTAGATCTCTCTATTGCTTTTATTTTGATTCGCTGCTTGAATAGCTCCCATTCTTCTCCTATTTTGTCCATACACTCTTTGTTAATATTACTTATTTCTTTAATAACTGATGCGCTAAACGACTCGTCCTTTAAGAGGTTAGAGTTCATTTTCCACTGTTCCCAAGAAAAGGCGTTCCTTTCTTTTTTTGACCCGATATTGCATTTTACTAGACAGTGATCTGAAAAGGAAACAGGGACAACATTATAACTGCTACACTGGGTTATCGCATTTGCAGTAAGGTAAAGTCGATCCAAACGTGCATTACTTGTGCCTTGAAAGTGGGTATACTTCACATCTCGGGAGCTATGCAAACACTCCGCAACATCTACTAATTCGTGTTCAATAATCACCTGTGCCAGGACATCACTGCTTCTATCTTTAACGTTGCGCCTGCTTGATCTATCACTTTCATTCAAGACACAGTTGAAATCACCCACCAATAAGAGTTTCCTACCAGTACACATATGTTGTCGTAAATTGGAAAAAAAACCCGATCTTTCCTGGCCAATAGTTGGAGCATAAACACATATAATGCGCCATTCAGTGTCACAATAAACAATATCACACCATACTACTCGGCCTGAAGAGCAAGAAAAGACATTTTCTATGACTAATCCTGGCAGTTTTCTAACAAAAAGAACACATCCCCCTGATGTGCCTATGGCCTGGCTCACAGTGGCAAAATACCGTGATGTAAACTTAAGCACCATGCTCCCAGTCTCCTCCTCGCCTTCAACTTTCGTCTCCTGCACTGCAAGCACATCCAGATTTTCTTCCAATAACAACCGGTAGACTTGGCTTTGCTTCTTCTTTGAAGCCAAGCCTCTAACATTCAGCGTGGCGAAGCTAAATGATACTTGAGGCGCCATTACAACCATGTGGAGGAGTTAGGCCCGGAGCATGGCGCTTACCTTGCACGTCTAGCGCTACGCTAGACGCCTCCAGCACCGTCCGACCGCCCGGTTTCACTGCACAGTAGAAGAGAATTGTTTACAGCTTTTTTGTCCGTGGTGCCACCAGCTCTTGCTCTCATGCTGGTGCGTCTGCCAGTCGGCGTTTTTGCCGGTGGTTCTTCCACGTTACTTGCACTGTTCTTGTCTGCCGTCTTCACAGGGTCTTCCAATGGTCTTTTAATGGCTGAAACGGCACCGCTGGGCCAAGAGACGCGGCTGGCGTTGCACGTGTTTCCTTCTATCTTCGTGTCGAAACCAACGCTACAGGAGGCACCATCGACAACTTGGCCTTGCTCCTACGCATGGGCAGACGCTCCGTCTACTTCACAGCCTGCGTCTGTCACCGCATTGTCAGCTGTATCGGTCGATACAGCTGCAGAACCTGGTTGAGTATCAACAGGTGCCGGTGTAGATTCGTCTACTGATGTTGCAGATGTGCAGTTCAAATTTTCTGCGACTTGATCTCCGCAACCTTCAGCCGCGTCCTCTGCTTCTGTCACGTCCATAATGTGTTCTGACGCATCTTCGGCTTCCGCTGACGCGGTCACTGCGGCGTACGAACGGACGCATTCCGCGTCCCCATGCCCGAAACGCCGGCAGCGCGAGCACCGAGGCACCTTACACTCGCGACGCACATGTCCTGTTCCGCTGCAACGCAGGCATTGCATAGGCCAACCTGGGGCTACCACTAAAACTAATTCACCGGTGACTCGTATCTGATGAGGCAGGTCCTCGACTTTCATACCGCTTTTCAGCTTAATGAAAACAGTGCGGGTCGTCGAATTCTTCTCATTGACTCCTTCCACACGCCAGCGTTCCCGGGTCACTTCTGTAACTTTCCCGAACGCTGCCAACGCCGTGCGGACATCTTCGTCCGAAACGCCGTGTAACAGCCAGTGAAGCCGCAGCCTCACCTTCTGCTCCTGAGGGTCGATAACGAGGCAGCGACGTCCCTTGACCTGGAGTTCTTTCAGTTCAGTCAACCTCTTCGTCGCCTCCTGGCTGTTAAAGGTGACGGCCCACACATGGTTGATCTGGTAGGCGCCCAATGCAATTACGTCGGGAAGCAGTCGTTCCTTGTCCAGAGCGTCTCGGAAATCTTCGACCTTGAAAGGCCTCACTCGAATATCACCGTGCAAAAACACTGTGTTCACAACAATACGTCCTGTTGGCAGATTCGGCAAGATGATCTCATAATTCTTGTCACTTTCGTCTGTAATCCTGTTTCCGCGGCCACCAATGACCGCCTTTGCCGCTCCGCGGGAGCCCATGATTCCTGCGTCCGACGCGTGCGAGTGCCGGCGAAAGAATGACTCGGCTACGAAACCGCTCGGAGCAACACCTCGTGTTTTCTTTACAAACTACTTGCCTAGCCTTCACAGCGTTGCACCTGATGGATGAAACGGAGTATAGTAGTGAGGCAAAACCTATCAGCGTTCCACCACTCGTTGAAGGTAACGTTTCTCCGTCATTCACTTAGTAAGGGTAATAAAGACGAAATAACAATTAGGTATTCCCAAAGCATACCCAATTACGCAAAATTTACGCGATGCTCCCACCAATCACTCTGCGACTCATTTACTCAAGTTTCCTTCGTGGGTATGTGCGGACGGCTTTTGAAGGCAATCAATAAAAAAAAGATTCGATAGAAAAGTTTTAACCATCCTCAACCTGACTCTCCACGTAGTCGTATGCTTATTACATGTTTGCGACTGGTGTCATTAGTAATTTTTTTTTCAATAAACTAAATTGTTAGTGATGAAATTGCCCTTCTACATTGTTGTGAAGCCTATTTCAATCAATCCATTAGCAAGGAAATAAAGATAAACGCGTGGCAGTTATTGCTTATCTAGTAAGACATATTTTTGTTCATATTACTTTCAGTTAGAAAAATTTGCAACATAATTAATACTAAATATTTTGACCGAAACGGGAAGAGAGTAAAAAAAAACGCACCATGAACCCCAGGTAATCATAAGCTTGACTGTAGGTTCAAAACAAATTTTGTTATTTTGTTGCAGCTTTCCGCATTGGGATTCGACTGTTAAGAAATATCACTACATTTCACTGGCTGATGCCTTATATTGTTTCAAACTTCCAGTACGGCTTGGAAATTTTGGCTTCGCAAACTCGGAGATGCTGTACAAAATATCATTGCTGGTGTTCTTTCCATTCCAAGGACTGTGCGAAATCTGCAGCTGTAACTTTGTCAGTCAGCAACAGTGTTCTTCCGTTTTGTTGACATAAGCCTCTTATTCCTGAATCCACTACAAATCCTCTCTCAAAGGCCTCGCGCCATCGTATCGCGTTAAAGCCATTATATATGCCAATCCTAGCTGCCTGTACGAAGACGATTCGTTCCAAACCAGACAATCCTCAAATTGACCCAGAAAGGCCGCGTTGGTGAGAAACGGATTCAGAACGCCGTCAATACGGCGAGGTTGTTCTATTGTGGGTCACTAAACAAAACGAAATGTCGCAGAGCCTTCAACAGAATTCCGGAACCCAGCTCAAAGGGGACCTGGCTGGTTCCAAATTTCAACAAATTAGTCAACCAAAAAAGTGCAGATGGGCAACCAAATAAAACACATTAAGCAGAGACTATGTTCTTTACAGCCCACGTTAGATTGAGTGCTTCCGGTGTGGTTTTGCTACTCTGTGCAGTTACTAGTGCAAGACTGGATTGAGAGTGCTTTATGCATTTACTTTGAAAATGCCAACTGCGAAAATATAGCATAAAAAGCTCTAAGGAGGGACTTGGCCTGAAATTGTTTTTGGTGGAATGGGTTTGTCTTCTTGAGTGTATTTTTATACTTGTACGCGTTCTACGCGCATGCGAAATTGAAAAAAAAATCCAGGTTTGTTTGCAGTTCCGTGCCCTCTCTCACCTCTTCCACTGGATGTGCGAGTGGCCATAAAATATGCACGTTCTTCGTGCCTACTAGGCTATTTAAAAATGAATGTGCAAAGTTTCTGGCTTATCACAAATTTAGTTTTGCCCATAACATCAAGTGAGGAAAGCAGTCCATGATACGAGCCCACGGAATGTCTGTCACATCAGCTGTAATGGCTTCGAGGCTGTGACGTCCAGCTGCAAAGCAAAAATACGATGCATAAGTTATCTTACTAGAAGAGCAAGACTTTGATGGTAGAAAATATACATATATGAAATGCAGTAGCTTATTTCGGCTCTCCCAAGATATACGTAGCGCGATATAGGTTCAGCTGATTGTTCTTAGCTTCTCCGGTTGTCTAGGATTAGCTTATCGTACTCACTGCTGGAGAGATGGGCACACAGACGCACAGATGGACGGACAGACAGAAGAACAGCGAGATAGATGGAGTACCAAGTGAGGTCAGGTGGCTCACATAACTCCAGCACACATCACTCCAGGAGCTTTAATGCCTTACCGTGCGTGGCAACTGTGAGTGGTGTGATGCGATTGCTCCTCGCGCGTGCACCAGACGGCTTTCGATAAGACACGAGGAACGGCTCAAGATTAGCCGTCGTAGCCTACACTACGAAAATCAGAATTGTTGAATTGTTTTACGACACCACAATCTTTACTGTGTAGCAAAACGGGGCTCGTAAGGTAATAGCGTCATTTTTGGTGTGCAAATGAATGTACTTTTGACATTTATTGAAAGAAGTACAATTCGACGCAACATTTATGACATGATCGACAGCAAGCTGTGCACGACATGGTTTATGGAAGAAAAATAGGAGGCAAAGAACGGCAGGGAGGTTAACCAGTCATAGAATTTATTTTACACCTATGACAATAGTGGAAAAAGTAGAAAACACACTCAGAAAAAAATGCAGTTCCTACACAACCTGATTAACTCTTCAGAAGGATTAGTCCATGAGAGTATAGCCAGGATACAACACTTCGGAACACTACATAATTCAAGTTTTAAAGGCGATAGTTTCTCTTGGGTACCTTTGACGCCAAAATTTTGCAATGTCTGTCTGTACGTTTGTCTGTTTGTTTCTTGTAACGATACCTGAAATGGCACTAAACTTTTCACACGTAGGACTATCATCTTTCGACGACATTTGCAGTTAAAAAAGCAGATACGGGGCCAATTTTGTTCAAAAATAAGCTGCAGATGTACCTGCAATGTCGAATACTTTAGCCGACGTGGTTCATTCTGCTATGTTTACGCGGGAACATTAGGCGGGCTTGTGCATGTGGCATCATTTCCGTAATGTGCGAAAGAGCCTTTGCCCTGTCCGCCACGATCAAATTGTTTCGACTGTAGTATCTTTGAGTGAATGCATAAGAAATATGCGAAAGAGTCCTTTCCGTGACCCTGTTTGGAGCATTTTGTGAATGAAATGCAATGCAAGTGCTTCTGAGTGTGTGCGTCACGTTGTCGGCCTGAAACCACATTTGTGGGCTTCTATTCGTTTGTTTCATTTGTGTGCCGCGAGTTCCGAGTGACATTGTCTCGTGTTTTCCTTCCAAGCACTCACAATTTTCTGCATTATTCACAACGCATATTCTCAAATTAGGTTTGCTGCAAATAATTATGTCAGTTGACTTCGAGTCTTGTTTAGACCATGTAATATGCCAGATCTACGCTTGCAATAAATAAAGGTCTATTAACTGTCAGAATAATTAGTAAATACCATTGAAGGCGGTCAATTTAACGAGCATGTTGTTTATTTGTGAGCAACGGTAAACGCTTTGAAATATTCTGAATTTTTGTTTAAACGAAGGGCTTATTTATATCCTATTTCTTCACCAAATCTGTGCTTCGCTTTGTTAGTGCCCTTAAATACGATGCTAACCAGAGCAGTGCACCGAGGAACATGAGCGCTGACATGCGAGTGCCGTGACCACACTAAATATAGGAGTACGGTCGCCTGAAATATATTTTCTTGCATTTGTTATTTGTTACAATTTGGCGACGCTCGAACAAGTGCTCTTATTGAGTTCGATCTTGACAGTCTGTCACGACTGCCATAATTTTAGTGATATTCTGTAGAAATATATTGCTTTTCACCACCAAACACACGTACTATGAAGTGCAGATCTCAACTAAGTTTCATTTCATAACAGAGTTTCTTATTTTACTTTTATAAGTTTAACTGAATATTTTGTCTTAGGTCTGGCGTTATTTTTAATGACTGCGCGTGCTCGCCCCCCATTAGCAACAAATTATACACTGAAATCCAGTCCTTCGTTTTGTGTCTCCTTTTAATCCGCCCTTCAGTAATGTAGCCCCCCTTATTGTCAATGAAATGCTGGCTTCGCAAACAGGCACGCTCTGCGCAAAATCTCGCCAACGGCGTTCTATCACTACCACGGTCAGCTGGAAAACCGAAGCTCCTACATTGCCCTTCGAAATCGACTTTCCTTCGTTCGATATTCTAATCCTCTCGTCCCGGCATCAGCTTTAAATCCCCTCTGAAAGACCTCGTGCCAACGCATCGCGTTAAATCTATAATCTCTTCCAAGACACGGCCTTTTCCAAAACGGCTCGTTTCAAAGACGACAATGCTCGCATTGACCCAGGAAAGGGCACGTTTGCTAAAATCAGATTTATCATACCGGGCCTACAATGATATTGCGCAATGTGAATGCCTTACCAAGACAAACATGTCGCACAAGCCTATAACTGTGGTAAACCTACTCGAAACGAAGCAAGCGGAGAGTTTATTTCATATGTGGGGTTTAACGTCCGATAACCACCTTATGAATATGAGAGACGCCGTAGTAGAGTGCTCCGAAAATTTCGACCACCTGGAGATCTATAACGGGCACACACATCTGAGCAAAAGAGCCTACAGTATTTTTTCCTCCATCTGAAATACAGCCGCCAAAGCCGGAATTCGATCCCACGACCTGCGGCGGGTCAGCAGCCGAGTACTTTAGCTATGGACCACCAGGGCGGGGCACAGGAGGAGGACAAGTTTTAATGAATGAGTGTATAAAAAGTGCGCACATTCTCAAAGAAAGGAAGCACTTTGATTTGGAAATATTTATTTTGCCAAGAGCCTGGGATTAATTGCGCCATGGCGCTGCCAGCATACGTAGTAATTACTGCAAAAAGCGATGGTGAACTATTCGGGAAGTAGCTTTGTAAATAGTATATTGAAGTATATGTTGGAATACAGGGTGTTGTGTGCTCAATTGGGCTTAGTGGGCAAATAAATAAAACGTAGGCAAATAGTAGA